CAACTTCAGGTTTTAATGCTCCCCTAACCCCTGTCCTCATTCTTCCCATGCAAGTTTTCCCCACACTCCTCTGGCAGGTCCTTCTTGCTCTCTTCTGATGGTTGTGGTCCTTACTCCTGCACAGGGTGGTCTCCTCTGGCAAAGTATATATATATATATACAGTGGGGGAAATAAGTATTTGATCCCCTGCAGATTTTGTGCATTTGCCCACTTACAAACAAATGAAGGGTATATTTTATCTTTTTTTATCATAGGTATTTATATTATAGAGACAGAATATCAACCAAAAATCCAGAAAAAACACAAGACACAAATTTTATAAATTGAGTTGCAGTTCAGTGAGTAAAATAAGTATTTGATCCCCTACCAACCCTCAATAATTCTGGCTCCCACAGACTGGATATGTGCTCATGTGGTAGACAGATTAGTCCTGTCAATTTAAGACGGTACACTTAATGACAATTTGTTATGTGTTCAACCCATATTGAGGAAAAATATATTTGAAATATATTTTAAAAATATTCTTCACAAATATATTGACATATATTTGAAATGCTAATACAATTTTGGCCATATTCAATATATTTTAAAATATATTTCAATAAATATATATACTGTATGTTGAAATGCGTTTTTATTACAAAATATATGAAAAATATTTTTAAAAATACATTTCAAATATACTGTATGTCTTTAAAAATGCAAATCTACATTTTTGGAATGCATTTACAAATATATGCAGAAATATATGTTAAAATGACTTTTTTATATATTAAAACAAATATGAAGAATATATTTTAAAAAAATATGGCCAAAATTGTAGCATTTCAAATATATGTCAATATATTTAGGAACAATATTTTTTAAATATATTTCAAATATATTTTCCTTCCATATGGGAAAAGACACCTGTCCACAGAAACTCATCCTTCCTCACCATCATGGGCAAGGCAAAAGAGCTGTCAAAGGACATCAGGGACAAGATTGTAGACCTGCACAAGGCTGGAATGGGCTACAAGACCATCAGCAAGAAGCTTGGTGAGAAAGAGACAACTGTTTGAGCAATTATTCACAAATGGAAGAAATACAAAATAACCATCAATCGCCCTAGGTCTGTAGCTCCATGCAAGTTTTGCCTCATGGGGTAAGGATGATCATGAGAAAAGTGAGGGATCAGCCCAGAACTACTCAGGAGGAGCTTGTGAATGATCTCAAGGCAGTTTGGACTGCAGTTACCACATAAACCATTGGTAAAACAATACCCCACCATGGAATGAAATCCTGCAACACCCGCAAGGTCCCCCTCCTCAAGAAGGCACATGTACAGGCCCATCTGAAGTTTGCCAATGCACATCTAAATGATTCAGAGAAGGATTGGGAGAAGGTGTTGCTATGGTCAGATGAGACCAAAAATGAGCTCTTTAGCATTAACTTGACTCACCGTATATGGAGGAAGAAAAATGCTGACTAAAACCTTAAGAACACCATCCCTACAGTTAAGCACAGAGGTGGAAACATTATGCTTTGGGGCTGTTTCTCTGCTAAATGTACAGGCCGGCTTTGCCCCATTGAGGGGCCAATGGAAGGAGCCATGTATTGTAAAATCTTGGATGAGAACATTCTTCCCTCAGCCAGAACACTGAAGATGGGTTGTGGATAGGTCTTCCAGCATGACAATGACCCAAAACATATCTCTAAGGCAACAAAGTGGCTCAAGAAGAAGCATATTAAGGTCATAGAGTGGCCTAGCCAGTCACCAGACCTTAATCCTATAGAAAATTTATGGACAGAGCTGAAACTTCGAGTTGTCAAGCAACAGCCAAGAAACCTTAAGGATTTAGAGGAAATCTGTAAAGAAGAGTGGACCAAAATCCCTCCTGAGATATGTGCAAACCTGGTAACCAGCTACAAGAAACATCCTACTTCTGTGCTTGCCAACAAGGGTTTCTCCACCAAGTATTAAGTCATATTTTGCCTGGGGATCAAATACTTTATTTTACTCACTGAACTGCAACTCAATTTATAGCATTTGTGTCATGTGTTTTTTCTGGATTTTTGGTTGGTATTCTGTCACTATAATTTAAAATATACCTATGATAAAAATTATAGACCCTTCATTTCTTTGTAAGTGGGCAAACTTACAAAAATCTGCAGGGGATCAAATAATTATTTTCCCCACTGTATACTATATATATTTAGAGATATTGTTATATATATTCAAATTGCACTTTGAGTTCACTTTTTTATTGATTTATGAAAATTGTATTTAGTTAGATTTAGTGCATAGGAGTACATTTTTTTCACAGGTTTTGTGGGATTTGTTATATTTTTTTATTTTTATTTTATTTATGGTCTAAGTGATTCAGCTAGTGTTTTTTTAATATATATTAAGGGAGTGCTGCATGTTACATGCATGTGGTCTGCTATGATTTAGGAAGGAGGAGGGCCAAACTCTTATTCCCCCCCTTTCCTGGCCTGCCAGACAACATGCCTGGATAAAGGTCTGCTGGAGATTAAAAAGGAGGGGGGGGGGAGTGTAATGCTTTTTTCCCTCGTGCTTTTTGCATAGGGTTCCCCCATTAAAATTCTCTTGGGGTCTGGTATGGAAATTAGGGAGGAATCCACACTTTTTTTTTGTGGGATCCCCCCTGACATCCATACCAAACCCTCATTAAGGGTCCCCTATTTAGAAGGCAACAACAATGCTTTTTTTGTGGAAGGTTCCCTATTAAGATCTATACAAGACCTTCCTCTAGAACAGGGGTGGGCAAATTTTTTGACTTGAGGGCCGCAATGGGTTCATATATTGGACCCGGGGGCCGGACCAAGAGTAGATGAATGATGTGTATGTGTTTTATCCATAGTAAGTATAGTAATATTCCTCCATAGTAAGCATAGTAATTAATCCCCCATATAGTAATTCATCCCCCCGGATAGTAATTCATCCCCCATATAGTAATTCATCCCCCATAGTAATTCATCCCCCATAGTAATTCATCCCCCATATAGTAATTCATCCCCCCTAGTAATTCATCCCCCATAGTAATTCATCCCCCATATAGTAATTCATCCCCCATAGTAATTCATCCCCCGTATAGTAATTCATCCCCCATATAGTAATTCATCCCCCATAGTAATTCATCCCCCATATAGTAATTTATCCCCCATAGTAATTCATCCCCCATATAGTAATTCATCCCCCCTATAGTAATTCATTCCCCATATTAATTCATCCCCCATATTAAGTCCCCATGTCCCCCCTGTGTCAATTCACTTACTTTTGCTCCGCGCGTTCCTCTCGCCGTGTTCCCCGCGCCGTTCCGGTATAGCATGAAAATCTGTCTCCTATGAGGATCTGTCCCCCTCGACGTATCTGCGCATGTGCCAGTTTCAGGCATTAGCAGCCGATCGGCGATCTCCGGCACATGCGCAGATACGTCGAGGGGGACAGATCCTCATAGGAGACAGATTTTCATGCTACACCGGTCTTCAGGGCGGACTGTGAGAGGAGCCTAGCTCCCCTCAAGTTCGTCACGCTGCTCCGCCTACACACATCCTGACAGCCATCCTGACAGTATCACGCTCCGCGGGCCGGATTAAAAGGTCCGCCGGGCCGTATACGGCCCGCGGGCCGTAGTTTGCCCATTGCTGCTCTAGAAGGTTCTGCTATAGATGAACGGAATCTACAGCTGCTTTGTTTGCAAGCACAAGGAAGCAGCCGGAGCTGACATTTACTGGCAACTTAGGGGCATTTTTCTTTGTAAATATCGGTTTCGTAGTAATAGGTTGTAGTGGGTTGTATACATCATAAGGATGCGTCACTTTACATTCAGGCATGTGAGTCAAACTAATTTTGCATTTTTAATGTTTCACTTTAAGCATGTTTAACTCAAGGCTTCCCACCAAACAATAAAAAAAATATATATTTTGTTGTACGATTTATTATTATTTTACTGTTTACTAATAATTACTCTTTAGTAATTATAACTGTGCAGATACACGTCTGAAAGATTACTATTCCTGCTTCTCCCCTTCCTTTAGCATTCTCCATAGCTTTCCTTATTTATCTGAGAATGACACTTTAGTTGGAGAGTAAGTCAGCAAGAGATTACCAGAAGTCTGCTAGTCACTGACTCTTCAATTGCAAGGCTTAATGTACTGCACACCCAAAAGGAGTAATAAGTCATTCAGTTTTCAGGCTTATAACTGTCAGACCTCAGGTGATTAATGACCTCAGGTTACCCTTAGCAATGGCAATTCCCATATTTCTATATTGCCTAGTAGTTACACGCAAGTTTTCTTATTTACCAAAGTATTGCATTTAGAGGACAACCGAAGATTGTGTAAAGCATACAGTAGATAATTCTGTACATTTGTTCATTTGTACAACTTATTTGATGCCACTCAATCAATCAAAACTAGGCCTGCTGCAATGAATTTGTAACTAAAATAGGTGTATTTGTCTTTAACCTCCCTAGCGGTATGATTATGTCCATATTTCTGTGCTCAAAGCGGTACATTTTTTTGCATGGAAATATGTATTTTTTTATTGTAGGCCTGTAATTTTTAGGAATAACTCACTGAAATCTGTCCGAACAAGAGTCTAGTAAACATCCCGGGTAGGATAAAACTTGAAACACGAAATCATAGATTAGAATTTAATAAATAATCATAAAATATAATAATATAATAATAATAAATTGAATTCAATAATATAATCAAAACCAAAAACACTGAAATTTGAAATATAGCGCCAAGTTCGCACATCACTGAGCAAAGTCGCAAAATCGTTTTCAGTGTCTGATGACGAATTTCCCCACGAATCATTATCACTCAATTCTGCAAGTGGTTCTGATTTACTATCGCTGTTCTCTAGCTGGTCTAAAACCGCTTTTGACCTAAAGGGACGCTTTTTGGACGCCATGCACGTTTCTCAGTTTCCAGGCAGAAAGAACAGTAAAAATGCAGGCAGGGCACAGGACAAAGCACTCGGGACAAAATGTTTGTGAAATGGTTTGATACAATAATGTTTTTACTATGTGATGTTAGTGATTTTAGTGAATGTCACTTTTTGTCATTTTCAAATTTCCCGTCGTTCCGTCCCCCATACGTCCCGGCGCTCGCAGGGGACGAAACCCAGATGACAGATGCCAGCATCCGCCGGATTACATTGCCGGGGACACTGCAGGAGGGACATCGTGGGAGCGCAGGACAAGGTAAGTGATCGAAGGATTACGGAGCGGTGCCGCATGGTAAGCCTGAGTGTAGCTCCAGGTTACCGCTTGTGGTACTGAAACTTTACCCCGAGCTACACTCGGGAATACCGCCAAGGAGGTTAAAATAATTCCAGAAAATTGCAGGGAAAAAAGAAAAATGGAAAAGAAAATAAACAGAAAGACAACCAAAGAGACAATTCAATGGTGTAGTGATATATATGTTTAGCACAATTTTTTTTTCCCAAGTAGGAATTTTATTAAACGTAAGTAAAAAAATTAAACAAAAATACATAAAAGTATCATGTAAAGGAAAATGTGTAAATAAAGAACCCACCCTATTTGGAGCACCCCAGTCTATACCCCAAAAGGTTTATAGTGTTTCTCTACAACAGATCTTTTTAAAAAAAAAAATGAAATGCTTGTATCACAGCTGTTTTTAGGTGATTGCCACTTGTTGGCACATAAAGTAGGTTGGAGTAAGAGTTTCACAAATTAATGTAAAAGGTGCCAGCCAAATTTCAAAGGAGCCACATTTGCTTAGAGTTTGCAAGTGACATGGCAGCAAACACACCATGCAAGTGCTTTGTCATGGTACTGGCATCTTCAGTTTTGTTTACAGGGTGCAAGCCAACTTATCTAGATTGAACAATCATTGGCAGATGGTAGTGAGGCATTAAAATGCATGATTCTCCAATGCATTTACACAAATCATTCAGAACACAAGATAAAATATATTTGATGAAATTCAACAGAAATTTTTGTCTTTTCAAAAAAAAAAAAAAAAATAAATAAATATATATATATATATATTTATATACACAGACTGCTCAAAAAAATTAAAGGAACACTTTTTAATCAGAGTAGAGCACCAAGTCAATTAAACTCCTGGGATATTGATACGGTCATTTAAGTAGCAGAGGGGGTTGTTAATCATAATCAATTAATAAAATCTAAATATTTTAATATTATTATAACCTCTCCCTAATTAGGGAGCCCAGAAACAGATTGCTATGGTCATCACCGACTCACCAATAAGTTATGGTGGGGTCCTCAAAACCAAAAACGCAGTAATAAGCACTAGGGGGTCAGAGAGATCCCCCAATGGATAGAAGTTTTAAAGGAGAACCAACAGCGGTGTAGATAAAACCAACAGCTTTATTATGTTTCACAAAATGGTAATAGACCTATTAGGCCAAAAAGATCCTCTTTTCACATGAATAAAATAGATAACGTTATCACTTTAAAATGATCCAGGCCACACACACTATGAGTATAGACATGATACAACTACCTTCCGTGTTAGATGAACACTAATTGTGAGTCAATTATAACCAGAGTCTCGTGCAGTGGGATCACCCACATTAGGCCAGTAAGGCAAAAATCAAGGCTCTGGAAAATAAACTCTCCAACCAGGACATAGTGTAGTATTAATGAGCAGCACACACAAAAATTATCAAAAATTAGGCAAATGGTTCACTGAATCAGCCCAATATTAATGTAAGGCCATAGAGGCCAATCACATCCATTAAGAGATAAATTCCCTATTAGCCACAAACATATGCTTGAATGTGCGCTATTGAGTAGAGGCTCGCAGTTAGAGTTTAAATAGTTGGAAGCTTTTTGGTCAGTTCATCCACTTGGTCCACTGAATCTGATCACAGGTTGTATAAAAATTAATAGTATCCAACTTCAATGGACATCGATAGACAGCAATGTCAATAGTATACAGTTGAAAATAAGGGCTAATGCCCATTTGACCTGACCACAGGTGTATGAAAGATGATGTTATCCAAATCACGTTCTCGACATCAGTGTCATTGATATTCAACTTGAAGTGAAGGCTGACAGCCTGATAATAATGAAGCTTGAAGGCTAAAAGGCCAGCATAGTTAGACCAGATCAGTCTAGCTTAATCTCATATGTGTAAATGTCATTGGTATTCAGCTTGGAATGAAGGCTGACTGCCTGATATTATGAGGTTGAAGGGCTACTGAACCAGTATAGTAAAATCAACTCAGTCCAGCTTAATCACAAGTGCAAAAAAGATATCCACATTAATTAAGTTAGATAAGATGGTGGCTTTGCGTACATCCAGATGACTGAACCATTGTAGCTTCCAAGCGGTCAAACCGGGTTGGAATACGTGACTCTGTGGTAGTATTTGTGGTAATAGTTCAAAGCGGTGATCCCGGTAGTGTAGTGGAGGCGGTGTTTGGATTACCACCCTGCTCAGATCGGCGTGAGGCGGATCAACGCGCGCCCACTCAGGTAGGCGTGGCCCAGGACCTAGCTGTCACTGCCTACATCAACGCGTTTCACCCACGTGACCGTGCGCTTCGTTGGGGCGTAAAAGCTCCCGGTCTTTTGACGAGACAAACGTCCCATTCAACCAATCGCAATTGGCCAGGGGCGGTCCCAGTTTAAAGGGCAGCACCTCTACATCTCAGCAAACCATTACTTTTAAAAGTAATAGGTGGATTGAGACATAAGGCAATTTTACACAGTTTTAACTAATTATAAACAATTTTAAACATCCAAGGTGATAGTATAATTGTATATTAATACACTATTTGTGGAGGTTGTTAATCAGTTTCAGCTGCTTTGGTGATAATGAAATTAACAACAGGTGCACTAGATGGGCAACAATGAGACAACCACCAAAACAGGAACGGTTTTACAGATTGAAGCCACTGACAGTTTTTTCCTCTACTCATCTTTTCTGACTGTTTTTCACTAGTTTTGCATTTGGTTAGGGTCAGTGTTGCTGCTGGTAGCATGAGGCGATACCTGGACCCTACAGAGGTTGCACAGGCAGTCCAACTCCTCCAGCATGTCACATCAATATGTGCCATTGCCAGAAGGTTTGCTGTGTCTCCCAGCACAGTCTCAAGAGCATGGAGGAGATTCCAGGAGACAGGCAATTACTCTAGGAGAGCTGGACAGGGCTGTCAGAGGTCCTTAACCCATCATCAGGACTGGTATCTGCTCCTTTGTGTAAGGAGGAACAGGATGAGCAGTGTCAGAGCCCTACAAAATGACCTCCAGCAGGCCACTGGTATGAATGTCTCTGGCCAAACAATCAGATACAAACTTCAGGATTGTGGCCTGAGGGCCTGACATCCTCTAGTGGGCCCTGTGCTCACTGCCCGGCATCATAGAGCTCAATTGGCATTTGCCATTGAACACCAGAATTGGCAGGTCCGACACAGGCGCTTTCCAAAGATGAGAGCAAGTTCTCCCTGAGCACATGTGACAGACGTGAAAGGGTCTGCAGAAGCTGTGGAGAATGTTATGTTGCCTGCAACATCGTTCAGCATGGCTGTTTTGGTGGTGGGTCAGTGATGGTCTGGGGAGGCATATCTATGGAGGGACACACAGACATCTACAGGCTAGACAATGGCACCCTGCCTGCCATTAGGTATCGAGATGAAATCCTTGGACCCATTGTCAGACCCTACGCTGGTGCGGTGGGTCCTGGGTTCCTCCTGCTGCACGACAATGCCTGGCCTCATGTAGCGAGAGTATGTAGGCAGCTCCTGGAGGATGAGGGAAATGATACCACTGAATGTCCCCCTTGCTCGCCTGACCTAAATCCTATAGAACACCTCTGGGATAGCATATTTTGGTCCATCTGATGCCACCAGATTGCACCTCAGTGATGCCCTGATCCAGATCTGGGAGGAAACACCCTAGGACACCATCCATCGTCTCATTAGGAGCATGCCCCAACATTGTCAGCCATGCGTGTATGCACGTGGGGCCATACAAACTACTGCGTACCATTTTGAGTTGCTGCAATTAAATTTCAGCAAAAAGGACTAACCTGCTGCATCATGTTTTCACTTTGATTTTCGGGGTGTCTTTGAATTCAATCCTCTGTAGGTTGATAATTTTAATTTCCATAAAATGATGGAGCATCCTTACTTTCCTAACACATTACCCAGTCCATATCAGTATAGATATCCAGCATGATATTTTTAGTATATATTAAACCTCAAAACAAGATTAACAATAAACAAATTATTTCATTACTAACACCTTCCTAGAAACATTTCTAAGGTTCTTTTGGGATGCACGTGCACATTGTTACAAAGAAGTCACCATCACAGGTACATTATCTTTAGGCCTTGTAAAGCAGGGTAATGTAATCCCACTTGACATAGCAACCAGTGCATTACTGATTTCTGTTTCCTCCAAGTAGGTTTACAGATCTACAGAAATCACTACCACAAGAGGATGTATTGGGGGAAAAGATTTATTAAATACCTTTTTTAGCTCTGCATAAACAAAAGAAAATGGGAGAAGCTGAAGTCCGTAATGGAGATAGTATTTACATACCCCAAGAGAACTACAGTGGCTGACAATAGATACGGTCCAGAAATATTTAAACAAAATACAGATGAATTATTATTATTATACAGGATTTATATAGCGCCAACGATTTGCTCAGCGTTTTATATTATAGTGGGAGACTATACAGTAACAATACCGTTCAATACAAGAGGGATTTGAGGGCCCTGCTCCTTGGAGCTTACAATCTAGGAGGGAGCATCAGATAGCTTACATCCATGTGTCCTTAAAGAGTTGAGCTGTGTTATTTCAAAGCCATTGTTTCTCATTTTTGGAGACTTTTTAAAAACTTGCGTGGTAACACTGGATCGGCTAATATAGTGCCTATATTTACATAAATGCTAATATAATGCCTATATTTAAAAAGGGAGTTTTTGCTAGAAAACAATATTACACTCCAAAGACATGTTGGCAGGTTAATTTGATCCTGTCTAAATTGGCCTTAGTATGTGTATGGATGTGATTTCGGGACCATAGACTATAAGCTCATTGAGGGCAGGGACTGATGAATGTACAATATATGTGTACAGCACTGTGTAAATTGACGTCGCTATATAAGTACCTGTAGTAATAATACTGTGGTAAGCAACAGTGAGCATGGATTCATGAAAGACTGAAGTTTTCAAACAATTCTGATTTGCTTTTATGAGGACATAAGCAAAACTTAGACAAAGGAGTAACTGTGGATAAAGCATGCTTGGACTTTGCATTTGACACCGATCCCCACACACAGCTAATTCGTAAGTTAAAATTTTTTGGCTTTGGAAATTCAGTTTGT